CATGGTGAGTTGATCCTTGTTTTCTTTTTTTGGCTATTTTTCCTTCCCCCTTTTTTGTTTTTTTTTATTTGTTTTTTTTTTTTTTCTCACTTTCTCTATACCTCTGTGTTTTTTTTAGTTAGTTTTTATTTTATTTTAGATGAGACTCTAGGTGGGTAGTAGGCTATGAAGGTCATTCTAGTTACTGGAGTAGTTGTTACACTATCTTATTAGTGCGGCTAATTACATATAGGCACTCAGATAACTTAGTTATGTTGAAGCAGCTGCATGATATTAGGCTACAGATTTATTGCTATATTGTTATCGGCAGCGATAAAGCTTTAATAAATATAGGTCACCTGTGCGATTAGCTAAAGTTAAAAAAAAAATAATAATAATAATAATATACTAATATATTAAGTCTATCTTTATTTAATGAAAATATTTAATTTGTTACTCAATAATAAATATAATTAATATAAAGTGGCATGCCACCCTGATTTTTTAAGACAATGGCATACCACTGGCATGCCACCATAGCATACCAGGGTAGCATGCCAGTAGTCACCATGCAAGGTTCTCTAACCATAAGGAATTAGCCTTACTATATGAATGTAGTTATTTTTGTACTTGTTAGCTGAAATATTAAAAAGATATAAACTAGTTTTATTTAAAAAACAAATAGCCAGCACTTATTTTGAACTTATAAGAAAAAAATTCAATAAAATAACTATCCAAGGCTGAATAAATATTTTTATATTAATAAAAGTCATACTATAAGAATTATTATTACATTTTTTATGCATTAGCAATTAATAACTATATTAAAATTATATTCAAATCATCAAAACAGGGCTTAAATCATAGGTTATCACCATGCTAACTTCTTTAATATAATAGGAATTTTGATAATTTTAATAGTGGAGTCCTACAACTCTAATAAAACTTTTTATATTCTTTTTTTTGTTTATTCTTTGTAATTTTATTTTTTTAAAAAGTATTTTAAACTATATAAATAATGTAAAATTAAATTGATTTAAACAGCCAATTATATGAAAGTCTTTCTATAAGATCTAATGAAGTATTCTTATAAAGTGTAACTAATATTGTCAGAATTTCTATCTTTCCATTAAATTAAAATTATATCATTTGTATACTACTACATTGTTTTAATTAAAAATTTCAAACTTATATTAGCTATTAATACTTTAAAAAAAAATTTACAAAAAATAAAATTTTAAAATACTATTAAATACTTTTTTCATACTTAATAGTTCTTATGCTTTACACAGAACTACCTTTTATAAATTATTCAGATCTTTTTTGTAATCACTTAAAACATCATTAATTACAAGTTTTTAAGAACAGATTAGCTGTTGAAGTAATACTTTTTAAAAAAAAACTCAAAAAAAATACTTCCTGAGCCTACTTAGCTATATACTATTAGACTAATAGCAAAAATATAATATTAATAAAAGTTATCCAGGAATTTGATTATATTTAATTAAATCTGTCAACTGTTAGTAAAGCCAAAGACCAATATATTCTAAGTTATTTGCTCATAAGTAATATATACAGTGACTTGTCATATAAATGATTATGTTTTCATATAGGGAATACTCTAAAACTAATATAAATAATTATATAATAATCAATATTACAGTTGTATCATATCAACCAATCAAAATAACTTTTCATCATATTTTAGTTATGGTGATTTTTGTAAGGATATTAAATGATCTATAGAGAACAGGTTCAGATCAGATTTAAACTGAACTTTTTAAAGACTAGCTCAGAACTAGTTCAAAACTAGTTCAAATATCATATGATACTTTATATAATATAAATAGAGTATTATTTTTGATATATTAAATAAAATTCAATTATATAAAATCAAGGATGATATTCTTTAAATAGTAATACATTAAATATTTCAATATAAAATTTGCCAATTGGGTATCAATACAAGATCTTTCTATTGAAAAATTAAATTAGTTAAGTATTGTCTTTTATTTTCAATCAATAATGGTCTAATAATTATAATAGTATTAATAAGTACTGAAGGCTTTTACTATAGTTTATTTTTACTTTTTGATCAATAATTGCTTAATAATATTACAGTATTGGTAAGTACTAATAGTTTTTTATCATTTGATCAATTTTAATCAATAATCGGCTAATTATATCATGCTATATTTGTTTTCACACTATATAGAAGTTAAAAGAACAAACATAAAAATATTTATTATCAAAAATATATATAGAGATACTAATGAAATACAATATTGGTTATCACTACTATCATAAAATTGAATTAATATATTAACAAGTAATTACTTAAATAATCATACTATAATTATATCAGGCTATAATAATATTAGTTTAAATTTTTCTCACAACAATTGTTTTTCTCTACCATGTCTTTTGTTGCTTGTAAATTTTTTTTGTTGCTAATTTCTTTTGTTGTAACTAGTAATCGTTTAAATGATCATATTATAATTATATCGGGATTAGTCTAAATTTTTTTATAACAATTGTTTTCTCTACTATGCCTTTTGTTGACAATTTCTTTGTTGTAATTTTTTTTTAATATTCTGATAAAACCATAAAACAATCATATTGAATCTAAATATCTTCTTTTTTTTGTATTTGATAAAGTTTTTTATGAGTATAAAAGTGTTGTCTTAAACAAAAAATTGATTCTCACAAGATTTTATTAGTCGCATCATGTCTTTCAATAAAAATTTACAAAATTTTGCACCTACTTCTGATACACTTCCTTGTCCAGATAAAAATTTTGTAATTGAATTGAGTACTAATTTCAATAATGAACCCAATACTGAAGAACAATTTTTTAAATATAATAAAAATGCGCATCCTATCTGGAATTACTTTAAACCAACTCCAGATAAAAAAATTATTCTTTATAGCCTGTGCTCTAAAACAAAATATAGTACTGGATCTGATATTAGTACAATTAAATAACACTTTGAAAGTAACCAAAAATCTGAATACTATCAATTGCTTCAGGTATTACCCCGTGAGCTGTTGAATACTATAGTGCTCATGATAAAAAAAAGTAAAAAAATTAAATGAACTTCTGGTACAATGGATAGTTTGTAATCAGCAACTATTTTGTGTGGTTGAAGATGAGAATCTTTGAATTTTTGTTTTTAAACTCGACCCCAGCTACAGACTTTTTTGTAGACAAACGATTTTGGTCTACATTTGGCATTTGTATGAAAGAGAACGTAGACAACTGTGTAATTTTTTTAGAAGTTTTGGAAATAAGGTGTCAATCACTATCGATGCATAGTCCGCATGTACAAACCAAGCTTTTCTTGCAATTACTTTGCATTGGATAGATAATGAGTGGTAGTTGTGCCATATAATTTTGGACTTTGTTCCCTTGCATGAATGCCATACAGATAGGGATGTAAAATATTTTTTATTACATAATTAAAAATGGTTGATGATTATGTTTTTAATACAGTCAACTCCCTCTAAATGCACATCCTCTAAGTGCATATCTTATATAAATACACACCTTCTCTTGGTCCCAACTAATATTATATCTATAAATTTTTAGTTTTCTAAATACAATATCTTACTAAAAGCATATTTGGCAAAATTTTATATATGGTCCTGTCACATTGTACTTAGAGAAAGTTGACTGTATATTTAAAAACAAATTAACTATTCAGGCTTTTAATCATCGCTATTTTAAATCGATAAAAAAGTGTTAAAAATTGTTTTTTTTTCATCCTTACATATAAGTAGTTTTTTGGCTGATACTATTTTCAAAATAATTGAGAATTTTGGTTTAGAAAGAAAAGTTTTGTTCATGACTGCTAACAATGCTAGTAACATGGATGCTTGTGGTGACCATCTCGCTAGAATGCTAGAATATCACTATAATAATACTGCCTTTTGCAGGTTACAATATACTGCCCATATACTTAACCTTGCTATCATCAATAGTCTTTCTATGATTGATGAGTCAACAAAAAAGGTGCGAGATTTTGCAATGATATTCGTCACTTCCAACCCTATCTAGAAGAATTAAAGAAAATCTTCGCAATGAAAGGCTAACCGTTTTTAATAACTGAGCTTGACTGTGAAACCAGGTAGAATTTGTTATACTTAATGCTAAGTAAATTGTGTAAAATAAAAGACATGACAGATATATTAGTAGTTTCAATGCCTAGCTTAAACAACAATATATACTGTTCAAAATTGGAGTAATATTCAAACCATAATAATACTGTTAGAACCCATTTATAAAGCTACCAAGTTACTTTCTTCGTCAACCCACCCAATTATTGGAGATGTGCACACAGTTTTTTTTGTAATTATTACACATCTTACTGAAGCTAAACAAGAAACAAATTCAATAAGATCACAAATATCAGAAAAAATGCTAGAAAA